GTGGCGCGGCAGGGCGCCCATCGGAGACAGACTCCTGACCCCGTGCCCCGAGCCCGCCCAGGCGCCGGGACACCGGGGTCCCCGGCGGAGAGCGCTTTGCATAAACAGATGGCGCGGGTGTCTTTGTCTCGCTCGCTCGCTCGCCCGCCGCGCGGCTCCCGGCTCCGCGGCTGTCTGGCTGATGCAATCAGGATCATCTCGGAGCCCCGGGACCCAGCGCCCTTAATAGCTGCAGAGGGGGGTCTGGGCAACGGGGCTCTCGAACAGATGCGGGGCACTGTGTCTTCCCTCCCGGGCGTCCCCACAGATGCAGTGGGAAGATGGAGGCCGGGTGGAGGGGGCCGGGAGGGGGACCCCCTGAAGTGAATGAACTGCAGCTGCCCCCAGGGGCAGCAAATCAGTGAATGGAAATAGGGGGTGGGGGCGGAGAAACAGAGGCAGAAAGAGACAGAGATGAGCTCTGGTACAAAGAGACAAGATGGTAGCAAAAGATGTAGCGAGAAGACACGGAAACAGGTAAACGGGTACAGAGGGACCAGGCCAGGTAGAGAGAAATAGCCAGAATGACAAGGAACAGAGTGAAGCAGACACTTGCAGAGGTAAGGCCTGAAGAAGGAAGTGGCAGAAAAGGAGGGCCGTCAAGAGGCCAGGGCAAGCGGGATCCGGGGTCAAGGACTGTCAGGGCAGAGCAGAGCCAGTGCCCAGACGTCTGTCGCGGGCAGCCCAGAACCCCCAGAGGGACTATCCAGAAGCCAGGGTGCTGCCCGCGCCGAATGAGTGAGGCAGGCACTTCCGCGTCCCCTTTCTGCCCCACGTTCTCACCTCCCACCCGAAGAGCTTAGACGGAGGGATCTGGCGGCGGGAGTGGCGAGAAAGGACTAGCTGGGCTTCACGCTCCAGTCCGCGGAGGACTTAACTTGCCGAACGCGGTACTGTCGCTTCCCGGCAGGGGGCGCCCGAGGCCTCCCTCGAGGGCTTAGGAGCTGCTTGGCCTCCAGGGGGCGCCCGCGCCCACAAGCCCCTGCGGTGCCCAGTCGGGGTTAACTCGTGGCGCGACCGGTCAGTGGGAGATTGGGGGACGGGGGAGGGGGTCTGGCCCCAGCAATATCCTCACTCCCAGTGACCGTGCCTGGTCCGCGGCTAAGGACTCCTGTTGACCTGACCTGAATGTGGCCTGAGCCTCTCTAATGGGCAAGTGCAGAGATGCGGCTGGAGTGGGAGCAGGAACCCACGAAGTTGTAAATCCATGCCGGACCCCCAGGACCAAGATTCAGGACACCAGAGATGGGGGACTGACGGGTAGAGTCCCAGACAGAGGTCAGAGGCAGGAATTAGAAGCTAGTAACCGAACCGGTGGAGGAGTCTTGGGGAGGCAGGCGCGGGAGAAAGAAGGCCAGCCGTGAGACGCTCGGCTGCAAGAGGAGGAACAGCCAGGCTTTAGAACGAGGCCGCGTCAGGCCCGGGCCACCGAACGCAGAGGGAAGAGCACAGGGCACTGAACTGGGGCCAGGCGATCCTCCCAGTGTCTGGGCCACCTCGCTGAGCCCCTCAGAGCCAGCTGTGCGGCCGTTCGAATTCTCGCTCGCGGTGGGTTGATTGTTAGTCCCAGACTGGAGGGGGTTGAGGGGCGCGGGTGACAGGGTGCCTCCTCTCCGGCCGGGAGGCTTGGGCGCTCGAGAAGGACCGGGCTCCGCGCCGCCGGCGGCTCTGACATCCCGTCAGCTTCCTCCCCCGCCCCCTCGGGCCCCATCGCTGTGAGTCTCTGTCTCTTTGTTCTTGCCGTGTCTCTGACACTTTATCTCATTATCCGCCGGAGGGAGGCGGAGAGCCTGGGACCCCACAGCCTAATTACAGCCGTGCTTGTCAGCCTGGGAAGGGGAGAGGGCTGCTCCCAGGAAGGGTCCCCTCCCTTCTCACACTCAAGGAGCCCAGCAGCGCGGGGGGTGGGGGGTGGGGGTGTTACAGCTGGCCCCTGACCCGGAAGGGGCGAAGTGGGGGAGCTGGGCAGGATGAGTTCTCAGGAATGGCTGGCATGGGAGTGGAGAGAGGCAGTTAGCTCCCTCTTGTGTGCCTAGGACCCCAGTTCCCTAAAGATGGGGGCGGTGAGCCAGCCCATCCTGGCAAAACAGCACACACCTGAGTTGGCAGCTTCCACATAAACAGTTGTGTCTCTTTCACTTGTCAACATTTTTCTCTTTCCCTCCCCCATTCTCCCTCTTCTCCCAGCCAGAGGCAGAGGGCCGGCTCTTTGGAGGGCTCCCCCATCACCCTTACTGAAGTGGGCAGTACAAGCAAAGCCCCAAGCCCCTCAACTGCACCTATTTTGCCCAGAGCTGGGTTTCAGTTGTCCCTGGCACCTCAGGCCTGGCCAATCTGCGGATAAATATCCTCCAGGCTGCTGTCAGTCTTGTTCACAATTCCTCCCCCTACACTCGGGACGAGGGCCTCCAGGACAGCGCCTGCCTCGGGCAACTCAGGGAAGTGCTTCAGATGCATTCTTGGCCCCTGGACCCTCCTGGTCCCATTTGTGAACCCACTGCTCTTTCATGTTGTGGGTGTCTACCTGCCTGGCCCAGGATGTATCCCTCTCCTACTTTTGGGTGGACCGGTTTCTGGGTCCTGCAGCTTGAAACTCACAGGTGTGGTGCTGCCTTAGGGGTCAGGGTGTAGGCATCTAGGAGAGTCCAACACCCCCCCTGCCCCCCTGCTTTGAGCCTCGGAAAAAGTGAACTAGGAGTGGGTGGTGTTCATCTCAAGAGGCTGGCCCAAAGGGGCAGGGCTGGGCTGGGACCTCCCCAGTGGGGCGGGACCCCAGGCTGGAGGAAAGTAGTGTGTCTGGAGAGGACCACATACACAGAAGACATGGCAGGAACCAGTCTGGGGGCTAACCTCTACCGGAAGATCAAGAGACATCCAGCGGTGAGTCCTATTCCCAGAGGCCAGGGTTCGAACACCTAACTCATGTCCCCAAGACCCCACAGAGCCTCTTGCTCCTCAGCTCCTCAGGGTGCCCTCAAACCGGCTCTGTTAGACCCAGTCTCCACAAATCTACTTCAGACAGGCAGTGTATGTGTGTGTCAAATCACCCAAGGGGGAGGGTTGTGGTGTAGAAGGTTCCAGGTGCCCTCTCCCAAAAGGAAGGAATGGCGGGCCAGGAGGTGGGTAACAGTGCCGAAAGGCTGGGGAAGGGGGTGGGAACCTCAGTAGGGGTCTGGCCCTGAAGGAACCCTCTCTTCTCCCCGCAGCTCATCCCTATGATTGGCTTCATCGGCCTGGGCCTGGGCAGCGCTGCGCTTTACCTACTTCGCCTCGCTGTGCGCAGCCCCGACGTCTGGTAAAGGCCAAACTGAGGTCGCAGGCCGCGGTCTAGAGTGGGAATGCTGGGACCTCTCAGGGGAGGTGGGAATGAGTGGCCCTAGCGGGGATCCCCTGCCTCTCAGCGCTGGAGCTGGCTCCCAACCCAGAGATCCCGCCTCCCTCTGGCCCAGCCGGCCGCTGCTTTTTCCAGTGCGGCTCCCAACTGGACCCGCTCCGGGCGGCGGAGCCTGCACGGCTGCCGCTCCCGGCCCGGTTGCCATGACGACGGCGCTCTGCCCGCCGGCCTTTGGGTTCCGCTATATAGGCGCCTGGCGGTGTGGTGGGGTGAACCACAACTGGGGGGCCTGTAGGAGTCGGTGGTGTACTGAGAGTCCACTCTGCTGGGTCGACGTGGGCAGTAGGGACCTCAAGGAAATTCGCGGAAGCCCTAGCTGATGCCCGCAACCCTGCTAGGCAGGCTGCGTTCCCGGGGCGGGCCAGCTACCCCGTGGCCGGGCACAATTGATGCTGACAGGCGCTGTGACTGTCAGCACCTGCTAAGGTGACCTCCCGGGTTGAGAAATGGTCCTCCTAGGGAAGGTGGTGTGGGAGAAGCTGAGACCCTGACTAGACTTGGGGGTCAGGTCCAGGATCCGAGACCCTCTCCCCCTCCCCTTCTGCAGCTGGGACAGAAAGAACAACCCGGAGCCCTGGAACCGCCTGAGCCCCAATGACCAGTACAAGGTACGTCCTGGGAGCCCCCAAGGTCCCCTCGCTTGTCACTCATCCCAGGACTCACTGCCAAACTAAGTCTCCCTTCTCTTCCTAGTTTCTGGCAGTTTCCACGGACTATAAGAAGCTGAAGAAGGACAGGCCGGATTTCTGAGGCGGTGTGGTCGGCTCTGGGGTGAACTGCCGCCCCGGGCGTCCCACTTCCCTCAGCTTGCCTTGGCCCCCACGTTCATGGTACCCCCAGCCACCCGTCCAGCTCTGCTCCCATGACAGGGTTCCCACGCAGAGGGAGGCAGCTCCAACGCCCCTCCTCCCTCGCTCCAGTAGCGGAAGCGCCTCTGACCCTGGGCTTGAGTCCCACGGTGGGGCATGGGGGGGGGGCGGGGCGGCAGTCAAAGCAGCCCAAAGGCTCAACTCCGCCCTGTCACTCCCCTCCCCCCACGGCTGTGCCTCACAGGGCGTGGCAGGGTACGTGAGAAGCGTGGCCAACGTGAGTCAGGAGAGTAGGGGCCTCGGGGTGCCAAGCTACGTGGCAGATCCCATGCCAGCCCAGCTCTGGGCGCTGGCCCAGGGGAGACTCTGCACGTACTGGGCTTGCCAGGGGCCGCCCAGCCACTGTTGGATGAGGTACCCAGCCTTGGGAGGGGCAGCCTGCTGCTCTGCTTGGTACCTAAGCCTTCAGGACAGCCTCCTTCACAGACAGACACCCCCTCCTACTCCCACCTGCCCTCCCTTCCTCCCCCTACTCCCCACTCCTCCCTTGCTCCCCTTGTCCCCAGGGATCAAACAGAAGCAGCCGTGGGCAAAATACAATTTCATTTAACAAATTGAATTTGCTGCGCCTGCTAATCACGTCTGGTGTCGGCTCTGATCAGAGACAGGGAGAGGAGGCTGCAGCCCCCAGGGTCCTAGTGGTGGGAGGGGAGAGAGGAACACACCAAGGGGAGAGAGCACCACCTGGCCCAGGGGAGCCCTCCCTCAGTAATAGAAACTCAGGGCAGCTTAGCATTTTATTTGATAAAAACAGGAAGGCGGGCACTGTGCCCAGTCCCCCCCTCTGGCTCAGAAAGGTAACTCCCCCTCCCCGAGAAAGAGCAGGAGCCTTTAACACTGAGATCATGGTGCAGAGAGTTAAGGCAGAAAGGCCCAGACCCCTTTTCTAAGTCTTGCTACAAAAGGTCATCTGCTATGGATTCTGGGAAGGCTCTTCCCGTAAGTCAGAGGCCTTTTTGCTCCCCGCTCCACTGGCCCAGCAGTGGGGAGAAGGGAGTCCAGTCTACGGGGAGGGGCCTCAGGGCCCAGGGCCTTCAGCGCTCATCAAAGCCAGGCATGGGGAAGGTTCTGGCAAACTGCTCCACCCGTTGCCTGAGGTCAGTTAGCTGCTGCCTGGTTTCTGGGTCCTTGAGCAGGAAGGATTTGAAGTCCTGGAGCTTGGCTAGGAAGGGGTGACAAAAAGAGCGGTCTGATCCCACCCCAGGGACAGTGGCTAGGCAGGAGAGGGTGGGATCAGCGGGTTCAGGTGAGGTGGCCGGCTATGGGGCTTGTGCCCACTCACCAGTCTTCCTCTTCACTTCCAAGCCGATGTTGACCCCTTCATCTATGAAGCTCACCACTCTACGGAAGTCTTCCTCCCGGAACTGTCGAGAGGTCAAGGCAGGGGCTCCTGGGTGGAGGGAGAGGGGGCGCTTAAGGAGGGTCAATCTGCGCCTACCCCGGGAGCTCTGGGTCCCCTCAAACCCACTCACCGAGCCGCAGGCCGCCAGGTGTGACAGCACTTCGGTCTCCAGGGCAGGTGTTCTTATTTGCGGTGATTGACACAAGCTCCAACACCCGCTCGGCGCGCGCTCCATCCAGACCCTTGGGCCTCAGGTCCACCAGCACCAGGTGGTTGTCGGTGCCACCTAAGGTAGGGGCAGTCAGGGAGAGGTAGAGTCCTGGGTCTCTGTCTGAAGCAAGGAGGCCGATGCCAGCCACCCCCGCCCCTGCCCCTGCCTCACCAGACACCAGGGAGTAGCCTCGCTCCAGCAGGGCATCCGCCATGGCCCGAGCATTTCTCAGAACCTGCAGGGAGTACTCTCGGAACATGGGCGTGCAGACCTGGAGGCGGAACAGCAGCACCTGTGACCCCCACCCCCAAGCCTATTCCTCCCTCCCACCAGCCCGACTCCAATTAGCACAGTGCAGACCCTCACCTTCCAGGCCAATATCCATGCCCCGCCCCTCCCCTGCCCCCCTAACCTGCTTTAGGGCCACAGCAACAGCCCCAATGGCATGGTTATGGGGGCCACCCTGTAGTGAAGGGAACACGGCAAAGTTGATTCTGTCTTCAAATGTGTAAGGGATCTCCCGGCCAGACTTGGGGTCCACAGCCCGCACCCCTCTCCGGTAGAAAATGAGGCCTGACCTGTGTGCGAGGGGTGGTCAGAAGGCTAAGTCAGACAAAGCCTTCAGTGGTGTCCTGAGTCCAGTGATGGGGGGGGGGAGGGTCCTGAGTCCAGTGATGGGGGGAGGGGGCCCACCCCCAGCTCGACAGCTAGGGAATGGCCAGTGTAGGCAAGGGCTGCAGGTGGGAGCAGAGTCTGACCTGGCCCCTCGAAGAGTCTTGTGAGTGGTGGTGGTGACAACATCCGCGTACTCAAAAGGCGAGGGGATCACCTTGGCAGCCACCAGGCCACTGATGTGGGCCATGTCTGCCAGCAGGTGCGCCTTGACATCATCACACACCTGGGGCCAGTGAGGAGACAGTGTTCGAGAAGTGGGCTCAGACAGGCCAGCAGAGGCATCTCCTTCTTCTAAGCCTCTCTCCACCTGGGGGAGTGTCCCCATCCCCCACCAACCTCTCGCATTCGGGCATAGTCAATGAGGCGAGCGTAGGCACTGGTCCCAGCAATGATGAGCCGTGGTCGGAAGAGACGGGCAGTCAGGGCCAGCTGGTCGTAGTCAATGAGGCCAGTCTGGGGCTGGACAGACAAGAAAGCTCAAATCACCAGAAGGAAGCAAACTCCCATCCCTCTGTACCCTGAGGGCTGCCCAGTGCACCAGCCCCTGCCCCACATTCAGCACTCACGTTCAGCTTATAGGGCATGGACTCAAAGAAGATGGACGTGGCTGACACCCGCTTGACATCAGACATGTAGCCATGCGTGAGACTGGAAGAGGGTTGGGAGGGGGGCTCAGAATGGAATGATCCTTAGGCTTACCCATCTCCTTCCTGCCTCGCTCCAAAGCTCCCCATCTCCTGCAGCACTGCTCCCAGCATGCACCCCCACACTGCTCTGCCTATTGTGTAATGGGCACTGGTGTTACTGGGGCCCAAACTTCCACGGAGACTGAGCCTGCAGGACAGGAACAGCCTGTTCCATCTGCAGGCCACACAGCAAGGGTTCACTGACTCTCCTCCCATACCCAGCAGCCCCCCAAACACTCACTGGCCCCCGTCAGGCAGGTCCAACCCCATGATCCGGTCATGAGGCTGCAGAAGGGCAGTGTAGGCGGCCAGATTGGCTGGGGACCCTGAATAGGGCTGGACATTGACCCCCCACTTCGCAGGATCCAGGTCGAAGGCCTCCAAGGCTCGGCGCTGACACAGCAGCTCGATCTCATCCACGACCTCTGCTCCCCCATAGTACCTGCCATGGGAGGGGGCAGGTAAGGGCACAGAGAGGGCTCCACTATGCCCCTCGAACACCAGCCGAGGGCTGGGAGGGCTACTTCTCTAGACACCATGTTGGCAGGGAGCACCATCCTGAGGCTCCCTGCAGCCCTCTAGGCCTCGCCCTCACCTCTTGCCAGGATAACCCTCCGAGTACTTGTTGTTCAGACAGGACCCCAGGACCTCCAGGGCAGCTCGGCTGCAGAAGTTCTGGGGTGGGTGGGGGGGCAGTGTCAGCATTCTTGGTCAGACAGTAGAGCCCCTTCCCCTGGGCCCCAGCATGCCTGCCCTGCCAGAGCCACAAACTGAGAGGGGATTGGGCTCCGGGGATGTTCTCTTCACTCAGGGTCCTGCCCCAGGCCTGCTGCGAGATCTTCAGAAACCCAGGCTGCCATGGTGGGGGTGGTTCCCACAAAGCCCCCGATCCTTAGACATCTCCTCTGGAGTGAGGAGGGGCCAGGCCAGATGGCTAAGGAAACTCCCTATTGTCCCAACCCCCCAAACCCGGCAACTAAGAGAGGGAGATAAGGCCTACGATCTCACAAGGGAATTTGGAGGGAATTTGGAGAAACATCGGAAAATACCCAAAGGACCAGTTACTTCCTCCCCACCCCTCCAGGGTGGCCCACCCTTTGCCACCTCCCCCAGGCCCCACCTCTGAGGCAATGAGCTCCAGGCCACGACACTGCCTGTCCTTCTCCCTCTGCAGCAACTCCCACATCTCAGGGTCACTGTCCGACAGGCTCTCCTGGCCTGTCCAGCCGCTGGCTGTGTCCCCAGTCTGCGTCTGGGCCGTTCTGCTATGCTGTGTCCGCACAACCATCCTGCTGAGCGGACTGCATCTCTGAAAGGGCTGAAGAGACCCGGTTCCGCTAACTGCAAGGCACCTTAGGCCGCCGGGACCCTCTGCCTCCTCGGCCCTCAGCAGGCCTCTGCGTCCTCATCGGGACCCTCTGCCTCCTCGGCCCTCAGCAGGCCTCTGCGTCCTCATCGCCACCTTCAAAGGCCAGTTCTGGAGCCAGGGTTGAGATCAATGTCCAGGGGGCGGTTCTGATCCGGTCCATTTACCTCCCCCCAGAGCCTCCCCCCACCAGCCACTTTGAGAAGTTGCGGGGCAAAATTTGGCTTCTAGAAGAAGCTGATATCTCTGGAACTCGCTAGAGGGGTACTGGGATTCCAGACTAGAGGGGGTTTCCGGCAGGTCCCCATAAACTGACACCCAATCAGGTGGGAAGCGGCAGAGTTGGCTGTGGAGACGGAGAACAGGACTTTAGGTCCCTGGGGAGGTAGAGAGGGAGTGCACGCCGAAGGGAATTCAAAAGCCACATCTCGCCTTTTGCAGCGCTCCCACCCCCCAGGGCGCACACAGCTGCGGGCCCCTAGATGCAAACCCTGGGGTCCAAGTGCATCAGAAGCAGCCCTAAGAGATGGCTCAGAGGCTTGGCTCTCTCGGTCCGGGTCCCGGACTCCTCTCGCTCCCCACAACAGGGTGCAAAAAAGCAATTGGCGGTCCTCTCCAGTTATGCCACGTGTAATGGCCGTCCCGTGGCAGGGCTTGTGGGAGGGACCCCGGTTCACTCTGAGCGCGGTCCCCATGGGGCCCCAGGGATTCTTTAGTTTCTGCTCCACTCTCCGAGGTCCCAGAACACGTGCAAGGCAACGCCGGGGAACCCCTGATTTTGTGAATGGAAACTAGGGCAGGAGAGGAGGAGGGCTTCCTGCATACTCCTCGCCCAGCCTCCAGAGTCCCGGGTCTTACCAGGGCCGCCCGCAGGAAAGAAAAGGGTAGCATCGCAACCGGAGGTCTCCAGAGGTCCAACCGCCAACTCTAGTCCGGGGCAGCCGGGGTCTGGAAAGACCGAAGCAACAGCGCATGCGTGTAGAGCCCGGCCCTGGGGGAGAAAATCACGCATGCGTGAGGCGGCTTTTCTCTGGCCTTTTGGGAATTGTAGTTCTTTCCCCTGGCTTCTTCCTGTGTAGCCTTAGGGGCCAGAGGCCCTGCCCAGTGATAGACCCAGTGCACAGCATCCGCTTACTTTTCTGCAGCCTTTCCGCCCCACACTTCTTCTTTCTTCCTTTCTTCTGTTGACTGCCGAGATGATAAGGATGTATTGAGTACCTACTGAATTTCTAGCATTATTTAGGTGCTCTGGGAGACATGAGCACAATGATTACCAGACAAGACAGTGAGGTCCGGTGTACTTGCCGTCTGATGCGGAAGAACAAGAGGTCCCAGTTTTTAAGTCGTTGCTCTGGACTAACTAGCAAGCTAGCCTACCTAGGCCTGTTTTCTCACTGGTAAAGCTATACTTTTTTTTTTTAAAGGAGCCTCCTGGGGATTGATGTGTTTCTTTGCATGTGGACATGCTGTGTGACGATTTATCCTTCCCTCTTCTGTTTCACAAACAGCCATCTCGTTTTCCTCTTCCACTCCCACATCTCTGAGCCCAGCGAGGTGCCTGGTTGGCACCTGTTGCAATTTGTCACCTGGTCCAGCTCACTAACCTGCAAGTTCAAGTCAGCCAGGTCTCAGAAGTAACTCCACCCGTTTCGAACCTCCCCGTCACTCCAGCCTCTACCTGTGTTAGAATCCTCTCCTGCGTCCAATCTCTAGTCCGGAACCCTTCCCACCTCTCTTCTATTCCGTTGATCTGGTCGATCATGTGTTCATTAATTCGTTCATCCATTCAGGAAATACTTATTTTCTGCTTATCCGAACTTTCATTCTCAGGGCTATCTGAGTCAGACCTATTCTGACTCAGTTTCCCAAGACTCAGTTTCCCAAGGAAGCCAAGGTGCAATCCCCTGGAGAACAGGACCCGCCTCGGAATCTGCAGCCGGGACTCAGGGCAGGACGGCGAGGCTTAGCTCAGTGCCTCAGCTTGTCCGAACCTCCCTTTCTCCGCCCCAACCAGGGGTCCCGAGGGGAGGGGGGGGTCGGCTGAGCTTGAGAACTGCTAATGAAGCTGCAGCCAATTAACGCCCGGGCCGGGGCTAGGGGCGGATAAAATTAGCAGCCGCGGCTCCAGGAGGGAACTGGAGGCGGAGGTGGGGAGGGTGGGCAGCTGGCTGAAGGCCCCCTCCCTCCCCGCATTTGCCAGCAGCAAGCGGCAGCGACGGGCCCCGCCCTTCAGACCCGAATTTATCCCTTCCCCCACCCCATCATCCCGAGCCTCCCTCCCTCTCCCCCTCATCTGTCTGCAAACTCAGCGCCCACGAAATTAGGAAGGAAAAGGAAGATCGATGACTCCAGATGCTGCACACACTGTCCTCCGCGCCCCGCCCCACCCTGCCGTCTCCTGCCCGCCCCACGGAGCTTAGCAGGTTGTCAGCGCTCTGCCTACGCTGTCCCCGCATCTCCATCCCATTCAAGGCCTCACTCCTTTAGACTGGATCCTTCTTCTGCTGGCAGTCCCTTCTTAGGTCTAACCCTCATTCTATCTGCTGTAGCTTCACTTCTTGCACCTCGGAAGAAAAGAGCCGCTGCCCCCACCCCACCCCCGCCGCCGCTCCAGCCTGCTTGCTTCAAGCAAGGATCCTACCCTAAGTGGAACCTCTCTTCTCAAGCTCTCATCCCGTCTCCTGAACGACCTCCAAGATCATAGCTCCTAGCTCCGTCTGTCTTTGCTCAGTTTCCCCACGAAAGGCTGAAGCGCCCAGAGGAGGTGCTGCCTGGGTTTCTGCCAAACAGAAGCGCTTCTGGGGCTCCCCTCCCCCCTTTCCCGGAAAAGGTCTTACACAGACGCATAGTGGATGTTACTTTCTTTTATTCCCTTTCCCGACTGTTCTGGCGTAGAAAAAGTATCTCCAAGAGGGGGCAGCTGGAGATGGGCAGTCGGAACTGCGCTGCTGCAGGACGAGGACAGAGAGAGGGCAGAGGGCAAGGCCTCCGCACCGACAGGGTATGGGTGGCATGGAGGACAGGCATACAACTGGCCATGCCCATACAGCCGGGCAGGCAGAAGGGGTGGGTGTAGGCCGGGGTTTATAAATGGCCTGTCTTTACGGAGGGGTGTGTGGCTGGGTGAAGCGGGCTGACAAGCACTGGAGGGTAAGAAAGGGGAACGGGGATGCCAGGCCAAGCGTTATTAGAGCCGAGGGCAAAAGAATCGCCCAGCCCAGCTCCAGAGGCGCAAAGGGTACCACGCATCAAAGAAGGGGACCTAGGACCACCTCCAGGCCCTGCCTACCCTGGAGTTGCTGCGTTCATGCCCCTCTACTTTGGGGTATACCTGAGGCAGCTGGCCTCAGCTTTGTGAGCACTCTTGAAAAGAATGTTTCCTGATGTTTCCCAGGAGGCAGGAGGGCTGTTCTCCTCAGCCCCTCAAAAGAATGGGGTCCACACAGCCACTGGAGAGGGCGAGGGTGGGGCTCAAGCTGGGGAGGGGGTGGGGAGGGGTGAGGGTGGGCCCACCAGGCAAGGCTGGGATTTGGCAGGAAGCTCAGGGACACAATGGGGGAGAGGGGTGGAGAGGGCTACCCAAAGTAGGGGTGCTCGCTCTGGAAGTTATAATCTGGGCACACTTTCTGCACCAGTTTGTAGTCGAAGCTGAGGAAGGAGACGAAGATGCAGATGACTTTGAAGGGCTTGGCACAGAGCCAGGCGGCCTGGCTCTGCGTGTGCTCCGTAAAGCACACCTGCGACGGGTCGTACAGGCACGGGCGGTGCTTGCGCGCACGGTTTGTCTTCTCATACTCCACGTGGCAATTGAAAGTGCGGGACTCTTTGGGCCCCGGGACTCCCAACGCGCCCCCAAGTGGGCCCGCCAGCGCGCCCCCGAGGGTGCCCCCTAACCCCGGTGCCGCAGCCATCCCCAGCGGGGGCCCCAGCCCCGGGAGCACCCCCTCTAGGGCCAGTGTAGACTGTAAAGGGTGGGGGGCGGGCCCCGGCAGCCAGACGCCTCCGAACTCGACACGCTTGGAGGGAGGCACGATGCTGACGCTGAGGTTGCCCAGACTGGACGAGTTGTGGCGGAAGTACACGCTGAAGGTACCGTTCACATGGTCCACTATCTTGCCGGTCACCAGCAGCGAGAACTTGAGGGTGTGCACCCGGAAGTAGAAGTCCCCCCAGCCGAAGATCTTCTTGGTGCGGGCCGCTTTGATGGACGGCTTCCGCTTACTGCGCGCGGCCGGCAGCGCCCCCGCCCCTGCGGCCCGGGACAGCGCCCCCGTGTGGTTAGCAGGCCAGGCCCAGCTCCAGGCGCGGGCCGCGGCCAGGCCGTCGGGCGAGCTCGGCGCGGGGAGCTGCTGACCGGTGGCGCCCCCTCGGGCGGCGGGGCGCAGCTCCAGGTACTGCGGCCTCCGGGACTCGGGCATCTGGGCACTGACGGCCTGCGGATGAGAAAGAGGAAGGGAGACACTGGCGCTGTCCCTGGTCATTGTCCCCCCACAGCCGGCTCACACCAGCTGCTGTCCAAGCGCGATCTCCGACCTCCTTCGCAGCGGAAGGTGCCGGGAGGGAGCGTGCCGCACAATGGGTGCGACTTCAGTCCCTTCCAAGCCGAGTGCTATTGGCCCGTTTACATCACCTAACCAGGGCCCTCCGGAGCTATGGTGGCGCAGTAGTCACACGTTGAGGTGCGCACTGCGAGGTCAGCGGTTCGAGACCAGCAGCTGCTCCGCGGGAGAAAGACGAGGGAGGCTTTCTACGCCCGCAGAGTTACAGTCTTGGAAACCCACAGGCGGAGTGCAACACTGTCTTATAGGGTGGCAGAAATTAGGGATGGGTGCCGGGAAGGTTTTTTTGTTTTTGTTTTTTAGGGGGGTGGGGAGGAACCAGGCCCCTTCATTTCGGCATCTGGGAAATGGGGCAGAGAGTTCGTGCCTCCTGCCAGAGCGCCGGGCGAGCCAAGAAAGCTAAGCCGGCGTGGCCGTGGAGGGCGCGGGGCTCCCGACGGCCCGCCTTCTCCCCTCGCGAGCCAGGTCACGGCAGCTGTGGCGGCGGCAATAACGCGCATTAAGAGTGACCGTTACTGTGGATTGATAGAAGAGCTGTAAGAGCCCCCAAGAAAATGATTTTTAAAAAAGAAAAGAATGGCGGTTAGCTGGATAGCCACCCTCTCAGCGCTTTTGACAAAATTACAGAACCTCGGACCGGGATTCCCGTGTAGGAAACCAGTTGAGTCTGGATGCCGCGCAGGCAACCCCATCCTGCCCCCCCGCTGCCAGGGCTGGAGGGCACAGGGTGGGCTCCCCGGGTGGGCCGCCCCTGGGCTCCGAAGGGGCTGGCGGAGCCGCCCCTGCCCGCCTCCTCGGTGTGTCTCAGGTGGCGGCCGATCCCGGAGACAGCGCGGGCGAGAGTACAAGATGGATCGAGAGGCGGGAGCGGCCGGGCCAGACCCGGGCCATCAATTATCCGCGGGGTGGGGGTGGGGGGCGGGAAAGGAGACGGAGAAGAGAGCAAGAGGAAGAAATATGGAGGTGCCTTTCCAGCAAGGGGAGCGGGAGGGAGACAGTGCTGCGCGTCGGAGTGTGTCACTCAGAGGGTGCTGTACAGGGTGGCCCTGACTGCCTCTGGGTCTGCGCACATGTTGGGAGGAGGGCCGTCTGTGTCTATCTTAGGGTGGTGTGTGTCTGTCAGCCTGGGATAGCTGGATGTGTCTGTCTACCTGGAATGATAGGGTCTGTGTGTATCCGCCTGGAGTAGCTATG